CACTTCTGCAATAGAATTCAATTTAAGGATTTAAGTAACTAAAATATGCACTTATGTAATAAAACTAACTAACAATAAAATAAAATGAACTAAAATAAATTAAAAATAAAAAGTTCGAATTAGTGCTGAATTGAATAAAATTAAATGAATGCTCACACCCCGGTAACGGCACCAAAAACTTGTTTACGAAATAATTCTTTCGATTTAAAACTATCGCAAGTGTACGGTTCGTAACAAGTAATAAAATGGATTTTTAAAAGTCCGAATATCGTCCCTCAGAGATTGAATAGTTCAATTCTATATAATCTAGCCTTGACCGAATCTAATTGAGTGATAATATGGTCTAAATGCAAAAAGGCCTAATTTCAATTAAAAACCCTAATTTCTATTGAAAACCCTAATTTCGAAATTTCTCTAATTAAACGACTCAAATACTCAAGTAAATGAAATAATGCAAATTCAAAAGTTAATTTAGGGAAATGAATCAAACTAAAATCACTAGGATCACGAATCCCCAATTGAAATTATAAAAATCCTAATTTCATAAAATTAATGATTCGATGAAAATTTGTCAATTCAATGTTCCTAAATCTATCCAATATACTCTCTCGATATATATTAGACCTATTCTTGCACACCACCAACATATATCTCTATAGATGATGCAAACATACAAGAATACATGTAGTTTTGTGAACAAGTTAAGAATTGCATAAAGCATAGGGGTATATCTCTATCCCCTATCGGACCATATGTTAGTTTACACCTTATCGAACCTATTTCACTTCTCTCGAATGTAAGAAATAAGTCATTAACACTCACACAATCATTGGCCACTAATTGCGGAAGAAAATTAATGCATGTAAACCAATCAAATTATCCAAACGAGTCTTTATATTAAATTCATGAAATATGGAATTAAAATAACAAACAACGGTTCATCGATCACCTAGTAATTGAAGACCTAGCCTAGAAGATTCATAATTACAGGAAAAAAATGAAATTAATCAATAGAAAAAATAGCACCCGTATGAAAATTCTTGAAATTTTGAATAAAACCTTGAAAACTCGCTTGAATCCTTGTGAAATCGGTTTCAAATTCGTGTTCCTTGCCTCCAAAAGTTGTATTCTTCTTCTCCCTGGACGTTCTGCCCTATTTCTGATGAATTTTGACTTTTATATCATGTCCTCACGGAACCCCGAAAGAGTTTCAATTAAAAACGGAAGTTCAGATTTTTTTATCGAACTTAAAGCCATGCGGCCGCATGGTGTTAAACCATGCCACCGCATGGTTCAAATTTTCAGCCCAAAAAATTTCCTACTAGATCATGTGCGGCCGCATGGTATAGTTACATGCGGCCGCAAGGTTGTAACTTTACAACCTTGTCATTTTGGTCCCTGAACTCTTTTTTCTCTTTTCTTGATATCTTTTCTTTCTTTTCTTTGTTCCATTATCAAATATTGACTCCTAATTGATGTTTGGGTCAATCAATTCCTTGATCATTTGCTCGGCTCATCTTTTGATTAATTGCAATTTAGTCCTTCATCTTTCACTTTTCTTCAATTCAGTCCAAGGTTACTTCTTTCTTCCTCCGATCGTCTTGTATCGTCCTCAATCTCATACTTGGTATATTTTCATTCTAGTTCTGTACTTAGCTCAACTTTTCAATATTTGCACCTTTGGTCCCCAAACTATCGCTTTGTTCCGTTTTGGTCCTTTTTCGGCTCTTTTCTTCTGAATTCCATCTTTTCCATAGAAACACCTACATTGCATGAATTTAACGAGATTAAGTCACAATTTAACTACTTTGTCCATATTTAAGTCATGTTTGTGAGCTAAATAAATGTGTAAAAATACACTTATCAGCAAGCTTATATACTCTCTCCTCCCCTTATCATTATTTTGCACAACCCTTGAGTACTGTTCCGACAACCTAAACCTGACTTGACCGTGGGAGTGTATACAGCCGTCGCCACCCCCTCTGGTCCCGGTCGTGTGCGTCTAACCGTTCGCTGATTGTGCGCAGGAAGGAATACGTGGAGTAGCTCTCAATTAGCCACGTGGGAGATCCAATTTTCGAGGTCAACAGTATGGTCATTATCTTTATTTTGTTAAGAAATAGATTGACATCCTCCTTATAATAAGTTACAGCCTTCATCTCTACGATCAAGTTATCTCAGCTAGAAAGAAATGATGGAAATTCCATTAAGTAGTTTTTCCTTTTGAAAGGCCAAAGGCGTAGGGCAATCGGCCCAAACCAATTCACGAAGGTTTTGATTGTTTTCTTTGGAGCTCGAGAGATCAAATTACTATACCTGAAACTTTATATAGAGAATGCTTATACATAGTAATATTTTTACTCGATTATATAGTAAACTAATATTTTCTCTGTATATTCTCTCGTGATTCAGGCCTTCTCAATTCTCATTCTTGCACAATTATATTCTTCGTCAAGGTGTGATCCAATTGCATCACCTTCCTAAAAGTTATCCCAATCAATTTCTTATCTGGTTTTTGAAATTTCTTTGGTTGAACTGACCAATCTGGTCCATAAAATTTATGGAAAAAAAGAGAGAGGCCTATTGCCAAAATAAAACCCTAGATTTTAACATAAAATTTATCTATCTCTTGAAGGAAATAAAGAGAAAGGAAAAATGGAAATAGACCTTGAACTACTTCTTTCCTTTCTTCTTCTTCTTCTTCTTCTTCTTCCTTCTTTTCTTTCCCTTTTTCTTTCCTTTTTCTTTCTCCCGATTTCTTCTTCTCTCTGCCGATTCCAGATTAGAGATGGCAATTTACCCCACCCTGCTCCGAACCCGTCTCGTGAATATTTTTAAAAAATAGTATTTTTTTATATTATTTTTTCGAGTGTTTCTTTGAATATTAATGTTAATTTGAGCATTATTTGTTTTGAATTTTTAAATTTTGAATTTGTATTTTATAATTTAATAGTATAACTCTAAATTTTGAAAATGTGTAAAAAAAAAATTAAGAAATTAAAACGGGGCAAAAAACTGTCCCGAACTCGCCCCGTCCCGTTGCCATCACTATTCTAGATTTTTTCCTATTTATTTGATGGATTGATATATTAAAAAAAGGAGCTAATTGTTGTATAATTGTCACATGCCCTCCATAACACCAACTTTAGCAATTTAAGTCCTTCAACTCCATTTTTTTTATATCACATTTAACCATAAACTTCCAAAATATACAAGAAACTCCCAACTTTAAATTGTATCCAATTTTACCCTCATATATTGTCAATTGTAAAATAAACCCCAATAAAAGATTTTAGTCAATTCAAGTTCCAATAAAACCATTTATTTCATTTAAGTCCCTACGTAACTTTCACTTTAAAAATTCAAAAATTCAACTCTTAACTTTTGACTAAATAATATTGGTTGTAACACAAAACCTCCCAGTTAACATAGAAATCATAATTATTTCCCAAGAAAACCATTCTTTTTGTGTAATGCTCTCCTCTTCCACACATAAAATAAGATTATCGTCCGAATCCAGTGCGTTTAATGTCGATTGATGTGCATTGTTGGGCCTTCTGTGTATCTATATGTTGTTCCAAAAAATTTCATGTTCTCCCAGTAGTAATCTCATAAAGCTTCACCGATAACAATCCATCTCCGTCAGACCGTTCTCTGATACCAAGAGACGTAGATAAACGTGAGAAAGAATGTAGCTAGTGACGAATTCTTGGAGAATGGCCAACAATCAAAGAAAACAAGAGAGAGGTTGAGATAAGAGTGGCTGAATTGAATGATACGTGTGGCAAAAATAGAACAGATGTAAGGGATTAAAAATATGGTAATCCAAGTTTTGTTCGGACAGAATCTAATTCAAGCCAAAGTCAGGATAGACATACAAAAGCAAATAAATTCCCCAATCTAGAGAATGGTGACATGGGTCTTCAGTTCGAGATCTTAATTTAATAGCCTTCATATTGAGAAAAAATTGTGAATGCTTTTGCTTTCGTTCTGCACGTGCCTTGCACGTGAACTTCCTCTGGTTAATAAAAATTAATTAATTATGACTATCGTATAAAGAAAGAAAATCAGCAATTAAATGAAACCCTTTATTGTGATCATTTATTTCGGCAGGTGAGTCTATCTTACGGGAGCATTGTGCTCCTCTTTAAATTGATTTAGTTGCCATTTTGTGGATAAATTGCATAGTTTGTTTCCATTTGAAGTCACAGTCGATATTTGATTCGTAGAAAGAGCCTTCCCTTCATCTCATGATGTCATTGAGGATAATTTTCACTGTCGATTGGCATTGTTTGGTCATTATCTTTATTTTGTTAAGACATAGATTGACCCATAATAATTTGCAGACATCTCTATAATCAAGTTCTCTCAGCCAGAAAGAAATGATGAAAATTCCGTTGAGTAGTTTTGCCTTGTGATAAGCCAAAGGCGTAGGCAATCAGCTCAAACCAATTCACGAAGGTTTTGATTGTTTTCTTTGGAGCACGAGAGATCAAATCACTATACCTGAAACTTTATATAGGGCTCATTTGGTAGTAATTTTGAGAATTGGTTTTTTGACTGTTAGGTAGAAAAGTGGGTGTCACATGTGAGTGAAGAAGTAAAAAATGACGACTGAAATAATAACAATCAAAAAATCAATCTTTGGGATGAAAAAGCACTACCAAACGGGACTATAGAGAATGCTTATACATTGTAATATTTATACCTGATTATATAGTAAACTAATATTTTCTGTCTATATTCTCTCGTGATTCCATGCCTTTCTTCTCAATTCTCATTCTTGCACAATTATATTCTACGTCAAGGTGTGATCAAGTGCCTCACCTTTCTAGAAGTTATCCCATTCAATTTCTTATCTGGTCTCTGAAATTTCTTTTGTTGAACCGACCAATCTGGTCCAATTTTTAAATGCAAACCTCGTGATTGCACGAGCACACCAAAAACACTGGGATGTGACATGGCCGAGAGCCGGGCAATATCATAACTGGACAGACGAAAGTTTCAAAGCTAAATTTAGCAATTATATAGGAAAAACAGCAAGCACTATAGGGATTCTAATTCTATACAGAGAGCAAACGAAATGGAAAAATCGGAGAAAAAAATCCACTCTGAAGAAAACCTGTCTAAACCTTGACAAGAAATTTATTGCTCAAATATTTCCAACACTAAGAACATTAAGAAAAATCAAAATGAATCTGTATCTCTAGGACTAGGTCGATCAAGAGTCTTTAATTTTTTCCGTTGTGATCGTGGAAACAGAAGTTGCTGAATTTGCTTCTCTGCAGCACATTCAGATGTTGCCTACACACGCAAATGACAGAGATTATGTAAGAAAAATCACTTTTTTATTTTTTATTTTTTGTCAAACGATGCCGATTATTTATATCAGAAAGAAAATTATGATTTTATAATACATTATTATATATTTGAGAGTTCCAACCATATACATTTTGTATTTAATACTCTGAAAAACATTCGATGCATGTTTGGTATATAATATTTGATCATAGTAGACACTATCTATAACAGAGTTCATCTTAACTTAAAATCCAATTCGCCAAATGTGCCACCAATGTATTTACTTACCCTGACTTTGAACGGGAAACGATGTGTTTGTACTTCCGTCCCTGAGGAAACTCTAACGTCCATGCCAAGACTATCAACTCCAATCAAATTTGCTACCTACAGAAGGATGAGTAGAAATCGAGTCTAGTGTTATTTAAGAAAGTTATATTGACTTCTAACACGTCCCAACTCGAAGAGGCTAAAAAATCAAATAAGCAAAACTAAACTTGAAATTACAAATAAATAAATAAATAATCTCTGAGGGGGTTTGGGTATAAAATCAAATGGAAAATTCATAAAATGTTTTTATAGGTTTCTCAAAATAAAATTTTCAAGTACAGAAATATTGATGCTTAACAAAATAGATGATTCATCCCCATCAAATGAACATTACCTCAACATCGAGTCCTTTCTTTTTGCAAAGAGCTTTAAGAGCAAATTTGGACCTAGTATCCGTCTCACCAAAGTGCTCTAGGATTGCTGGTGTTGAATGCACAAGAACATCAGGTTCAGCATACTGAAAATCTTGTACGCCAACTACTGACTGCAAAATTAGAAACACTAGTATTAATGGAATGTTAGCTTAAAAGCAGGCCGAAATATGTATAGCATGATAAACGTGGATGGGAACAATTAGATGGTAGTCAAAAGTATTGAAGAATAAAGTTCAAATTTTATTGATTTTATTGTCTAGTCTAATTCAAAATCGTCTAATACTACATATTAAGCATGAACTCAACATAGAGTTGCTCCATACAAGAATATGCACCACATCGCAAACTTATGCCACAACCATGAACAACTCAAAAGCAAGAGAAGAAATGAAAATGGAAAATAAAGGATTTTTATTTATTTATATATTATTATTTTTTATACGTTAAAAAAAAGAAAGAAAATAAAGGAAATTCAAGAATAGAAAAGGAAAATGTATACTAAGAAATACGGAACCGTGTTTCCTAGTGCACAAGTAACAAATCCAAAGCTACAAGAACCCTGTACATTGTAGAACAATAAAAAAGGAAAACAAAAATCATTTTAAGAAGTCAAATATGAGATATACAATAAGAAGCCATACTTGTAGATTTATTCAACGTGATAAGTCAGCAATTTTCAATGTAAGCAAATCTTGTATTGAACTTTAATGTCGTACATGTGATTTTTTGTTTATTTATTTCTTGTCCTCTAATGGGTCCTTTTACATGAATCATGTTAAATTCACACCTTCAACTTCTTATGTTATTACACACACACACGCACGCACAAAAAATCAAAACCATCGCTAACATATGTAGTTATATAGTAAATGAATATGACTTGTGCAGTGAGTGCAAGAAAACATGATCTACAATATACATGCCTGAACACCATAGACGGAGAACAGCTCTATTTTTGTGATTTCCAATTTATAAATAGTCGATCTATCACGGCTTCTGTCATTTCTTGAATTGAAGCTCAAACTATCTCCATCTGGAAAGAAACAGATAGAATTAGGCCAGCAACTTCAAATACAAAATAACAATTTCGATTCCGTCAGTAAAACAGAAAATGAGAAAAAGCTTAGCCCTTGTTTGAGCCACATTATTTTACTTAGAATGAATTTTGAATAGTTTATTGATGAGAAATGTGTGGTTAAAAAATAAAGAAAAATTTTGGATTTACGTGTAATATTATTTTATTGAAGAATGTGGGGTTGAAATGATGTCAAATAACTGTTTAAGAATGTATTTTTTTGAAAAAATGTGGCTCAAACATGCCCTTACTCAAATTGAGATCAGGCGTACAAAGAAATCATGTTTTCAGATCTGCATGTTACTTCTTGAATAGAAACTCCTGGTCTACTTGGCAATCCTTACTTCGAAGCCAGATTCAGGTCTAGAATGCACAAGGTTAGATGGTTTATGGATGAATTGCTTTTAGTAAGAACTTGTTTAATTATAAATCACTTGGCATATCCAATTTATTTGGTAACAAAATAGAGTTTAACATGTAAGATCAAGCAAATTAATTTTTTGCTTTCATTTTAAGTAAAAATATAATGGATCCATAATGTTCTGACTTCTGAAAACTAGTTTAGTTGCATTTTTACCTCTCCTTCGGTTTGAACTTAACCTGCTTTATAGCTTTTAAAAAAAAATCAAGCGAATTATGTCTAGAATTCATAAAATGGTAGCCCCAGTCAAATCAACTGATAACATCTTCTCAATGGAAAATCCACTTGTCTGAGAATCCCACCAATCCTATTGACTTCAAATTCTTTTTCGCAGTTACCTCAAATGAATAATTTAAGTCGTCCAAATACCTTTGAGGTCTGAGGTGTAACCATCACTATCTTCATCATCGAAGAGTCTTCTGAGATATAATTCTTCATCAATAAAGGCAGGTTTGATGATTCCCAAGATTGAAACACCATTTGACGGGTAATCCATCATTTCAGCACATCCCACATTAACAGCCTAAAAAAATGCCAAATAAGAATGCAACATAAATTTAATAAAATCAAACATATCTGATACGGACATCACTTATATTATTATCGCACTATTTTACTTTTTCTAGTTATTAAGCTTGTATTATTGGTTTGGCCCAAGCCCATCATTGGTAGGGTTATACTTTTATTATTTATATGGTTTTCAGTTGTAATTTCAGTAGATGATGATGAATTAGAATTGAAATATTGTTTGGCTTGCAGCCGTTTTCTCCCTCCCCTCTCTTTCCCTGGTTTCTTCTCCTCTTCTCCCTTCTCTTTGTTACTCCTCCCCGTTCCTTCTTCTTCTCCCCTAGTCTCTCAACTTCTTTCTCGCTACTTCTTCTTATTGGAATCCCTCAATCTATCCTACATCAAAGTGGTATCAGAACTGGGTAATGTCTTTCCTACAATCCAAATTTTCTTCTTATTTCTTCCCAAAATTTGTTGGAACACAAATGAAAATATTTTCAATGCACAAGCAGCAGATTCCATTTTTCTAGTTGTCGTTCATTGTTTAAAAAAAAAAATCGTGTTACTGTTCACACCCGGGTTCTGTTCACACCCGGGTTCCAAATTTTTGATTTTCTTTCTGTAGTATTAAAAAAAAAATTCTAACATTGTTTTGCAGATACCTCTTCCTGTTCTGTTGATCAATCCAGTCGCTTCGATGAACAAAAATAGGAGTTACCAATCTATTTATCTTTGGTACATTACTGTTTATCTTAGAAATTGCATCAATTAAATTTTTGTGCTGCTGCTGACCTAGTTGTTTATCTAAACTCTCGTAATTGGATCCATTCACTTCGATAAGTTCCTCTTTTACCTCACTTATTTTACGTGATTAGAGTTTGACTAGTATTTGACCATTGCTTTGCTATTTTACTTATACCAACAGTATTAGCTTGTTTTGGATTTTAATCCCAAAATTTAAATTAAAAAAAAAAAGAAATAGCTCAAATTTTCATTTTCCATTACTAGCACTTTTTGTTCGTTGATCTCTCTATTGCATGTCATTAAATTGCTATTACAGTGCATGTAGTTACATATTGGTCATCTTGTCAATTCTAGCTCCAATACCTTAAACATGGACCCCTCACAATTCGATGCACTCACCCGACAAATAGCGGTTATTCAAACTCAAATGACCGCTACTCTTGAAGAGAGTAAGGCCCTATCTGTTAGTTTGAAAAATTTTAAACACATCCCTCATTCAATTGATGTTGATAATTCTAAGGTGTCTCATAATAGACAATATCGTCAACAAAGTAATCAAAAATACTTTTGATCCGATTGTAAGGATAAGGATAGGAATAGGGATCAGATTCGTGAGCGAGAACGAGATAATTTTGAAATTCTTACTCAATGGAATGCCCTTAAACAAGGAAATCAATTAGTGACTGAGTATATCACGCAATTTGAGGAATTTCGAACCAAATGTCATTTAATTGAGGATGAGAGCACGACTTTGAGTAGGTTTAGCCAAGGTCTGAGAGATGATCTTAAGCGTGAGCTTTTCCTTCGAGGTGTCACTACTCTTGATCACGCTTACTCTTTAGCTCGAGATTATGAGTTGATTATTAGTACTCCATATGAAAAGCGTGGTCATCGTCATTCACCCATCTCATTAGCGTTGCTTCATCATAAGTCTATCATAAAACCGTTTCCGTCTAATGTTCCTCCTATTTGGAAAAATAATTGTAAAGGTCGTGATAGTCCAAGATCTTCTTCTCCATGTAGAAAGCATATTGACAATCATCCTTCAGTGTCATTGGCTCCACTTCTTCCCGTTAAGTCCCTTCTAGGACCTCCCCCGTCTGATATTCCTCCAATTTTGAAAAATAAGGGTAAAATTTTTTATAATCATCATTTGGCTTCATTGGCTCCACCTCCTCCCATTAAGTCCCTTCTAGGACCTCCCCCTTCTAATGGTTCTCCAACCTTGAAAAATCAGGGTAGAATTTTTGAAACTCCAAGGTCTTTTTCTCACTTGTTGTGCGTCAACTGTAGAGACTTTGGTCACATTTCTTCTAAATGTCCTAATTGAACCTTAGTCATGGAAGAACGAAAAAATGTAATAGAGGAGCCGTTAGAAGATTTAGTCTATGAACCTAAACTTGAAGATTTTGATGACTTGGATGATAGTGAGGACACTTCCTTAGATGGAATCCAAACTCTTCCCGAGACTTTGGATACTATACCCCTTATCTCCGACAATTCTCGATCACATGTTATATGTCATACCCGTACCCAAGTTAAAGAGCTTGATGATGTCACCAGTCACCCTTGAAAAATCCAGTCGCCTGTGGTTAACACTAAGGCAAAATTATCCACCACTGACCAACCTCAAATTGATGGTCAAAACAAAAGTGATAACCAAAATCCTGACAATTTATTATACTCTCTAGTCCAGAAAAAGCTCGAAAATTAGGATTTGATCCCTCCAACTGTTCAAATTGCATATAATGATCCTGTGAACTGGTCTTTAGGTCTAAAACCCTTTGAAGTTATTCTTGGTTGTGAACCTTTGAAACCTCTAAACCTTATTCCCATGCACCCACATGCTTGTGTGTCTATGTCAGTTGAGGTAGTTGTATCACATTTTCATATCTTGCATATTGAGATCAATAAACAATTTGAAGCAAGTAAAGCATTATATAAACCTCAAGTTGATTGGCATAGACAACACTTTGAATTTAATATTGGGGATTATGTTATATTGCAAGCGTGTAATGTTGGTCTTTTTAAAATTTCAAAGCATATTGGTCAAAATGCCTAAGTCAATGATCTTTTATCACATTATGACCATCACCCTATTTTATTTGTTAAGGACTTCGGTACTTACAATGGCTATTTTAACACTTTTGTTGATCCTTTTCTATCTGTACCTGAGAACTCCCACACCGAATCTTTTGCTATCTCTATTCGAATACCACCTGTCGCAGCACACAAAGATAAAATTGATGTAATTTTAGATGAAAAGGTTGTGTTAACCATTGATGGAGAGAATCGGTGCTTCTTTAATTGTTAGGTAGATCAACGTTCTTATTGTGCTCCACATTATGCGCAATCATGTGAAGATTTTGGAGATGAGTTGTAGGAGTACTTGTTATTTGGAGTCCAATGTTGGTACTTGATTAAAATGAGAGATCGTCCGCCTTGGTCGGATCATATTCTTGAGGACAAGTTGCCATTTGCATTGTTATCAACCGTGAAGGTCAGATATTTGGTTCTTTAAAAAGATCGTCCACCGTGGTATGAGTTCAGACATTGAAGGTCGATGGCAGCTCTTTGTCATTTGTTTACTCGACAGAGTCGAGTTTTTCTTCCACCCTGGGAGAATTGATGCGGACATCACTTATATTATTATCGCACTATTTTACTTTTTCCAGTTATTGGGTTTGTATTATTGGTTTGGTCCAAGCCCATCATTGGTAAGGTTATGCTTTTACTATTTATATGATTTTCAGTTG